CTTATCCGAATTCGCTTAGCGGACGATGCCTATGACCGGTCAACCTCTACGATCCGTTTATAACTTTAAACGAAACTTTGTTTATACTTGAAAGACTTTCAGGACTCGAATAAACTAATGTTAGAATTTAGTTTCATCAATGGACAACAATTACCTAATTTCTGAACATAATATACTTAAAGTTAATCGATGAATTTTACAACTATCATGGCTGCCAGCCGGTTTTACTATCGTTTTATACTTCAATAGAGATCGTATACGTTTATAAATATTTGGATATATTTTGTTTTTCATTCGTTTTATTTCCAATAACATTATTATCCTATCGTATATTAATATACACATCTGTAACAACGTGTATTTTGTTGCGTAACGACTTGTCGTTTTCGCAACAAGAAATTAATGAATATGTAAGTTTTAATCTTCAAGAGGATTTGTAAATCGTCTTAAGCAAAAAAAAATTGAAATAGAAATTTATTCGTTATTTGATATCTGTGCCTGTTGGAAATGTAACACATTGATATATTTAATATTTCCTGTATATGTTTGTCAATTTGATATGCTATTTAAAATAAATATATTGTTATATCAAAAATATTGTATTTTTGATAAGCACAATTAATGCTGGAAGACTTTTATTTTATTACATTGTTACAACAAAGTTTTGATTTACATGTCCTATTTACTTTATTTTTTAATTATATTATTTGAGATGATGATTATATATTTTGTCAAATAAATATGCATATTCCTTTCTATTTATTATATCCTTAACATATAATCATCAATTATAATAAATAGTAAAATTTATAAATAATATAATATTGATATTTTTATAGTATTCATATATTACAAATTATAAAAGTACAATTGCTTTATAATAAAAATAATAACATTATATTATTATTAATTTAATTAGAATATTACAAAATATTATGTTTAATGTCATTGAATATTTTCTTTATTTTGATATTATTCTTAAATAAACATATTATGTATATGTTATTGAATTAATATAAATAAATATTTGTATGGAATGTTTTAAATTGATATAAATATAATTTATTTTTAGATTTATAAAATGGAAGAAATGCGTCAACAACAGCAGGTTGGGCCTACTATGCTCTCCAATGTAGGCAATGTTCCCAACCATTCAAATAATGCCCATCGTCGCAGTAGAACTCGGATAACATTACATGCCATGATGTCAGAGTCATTATCACTACCTGAAGCAGCTCGTTTAGAAATGGAAGCATTACCTAATAAGACACCTGTATCAGTTCTTCAAGAACTACTATCTCGTAGGGGTACAATACCTAAATATGAATTAGTTCAAGTGGAAGGTGTCATACATGAACCTACATTTCGTTATCGAGTTACTGTTGCTGATGTCGTCGGTTTGTATTAAAATAATATGTGTATATATATATACACATATATATATACATAATTTTGATTAATTGTGCATGTATATTAGTTAGATAAAATTTTAATATTTTGTTGCATTATAAGATATATGTTACTAGGAGATGAAAAGAAATTTTCTTGATGAAAGAAAAAATTATATTTCGTAAGGACTAAACTATTCAAGTAGATCCAATTGTTTCAGCAATGGGGACTGGTAGATCTAAAAAAGAAGCCAAACATGCTGCAGCCAAGGCTGTTTTAGATAAATTAATTGGAGTAAATATTGAGTCTGCAGAATCTCCTCTTCCAAAAAGTTTAGCCGAGTAAGAATAATTATTTAAATAAATTTTTAATGTATTATGATAGTGCAAGCAAACTAGCTATTATAAGTGTCAATAGAATTTTGGTAACATGTAACTTTATGAAATGTATTTACATATTATATAATTTTAAACATTGTATATGTAGTTCTCAAAATCTACCAGAACTTGAAGGATACGGAGAAGAAAAAGGTTTAACCAATCCAATTGGAGTTCTCCAAGAAATGTGCATGTCTCGTCATTGGCCACCACCAAAATATACAATGGAAGGTGAAGAGGGATTACCGCATGAAAGAAAATTTACTATTGTTTGTTCTATTTTGAGTTTTCGTGAAGTTGGCTATGGTAAAAGTAAAAAAATTGCGAAGAGGCATGCAGCTCATAAAATGTGGCTTACTCTTCATGATACAAACAATCAAACTAATATGGATGGAGATGAGGTAAGACTATCCATATACATATAAGAGATAAGATTTTCTAAAGTTTACAATAATATATATATATATATATATATATATATATATATATATGTATGTGTGTGTGTGTGATAATATTATATAATATGAAGAGATATTTGTTGTATTAAACAATATATAACTTATTGACATATCTCTATTATTAATTGTTTATTTATCATGTATAGTCTCTAACTATACTATAACAAATTCAATTTTATAAAATATATGTATGCATGTGATGTGTGTGTTTGTGTGTATGTGCACGTGTGAAAGAACAGTGAAGTGGAAGTGATTCTTAACAATTATAAAATTGTTTTATTATTCATTATGTTTACAAGAAGCTACCTTTCTGATCATTTTGAATCTATAGCGGACGATATTGATATGATGAAATGAATGCTGTAAGAAATATTTATGAATTACAGATTTATGAATTACAGAATTACAGATTGGTTGTCTTGAAAGCACCTATATTTAAGTCATTTCCACTTCATTTTGCTTTTGATGCAGGTAGCATATTCCATAGTAGAAAAGTTTCATAAATGTTTAATAAAATTATTGATTAATTGTCCGTTATAGATTATGCAAAAGACTGCAAATGTAAATGCCCGTTATGCTGACCTGAAAGGTAGCAAAATTTCAACATTAACAACGCCTCATAGTCATAAAGTTTCACTATTTCACAAGAACCTCAAGTCTTCCACAGGTGTAAAACTTTTTGAATTACAGGTTTGTATAATATTTTATCATATTTAAAAAATAAAATCAAATATATTGATAAATTATCAAGAGATCGCAATTTATCATGTATTTCTTGTACATTTGTTTATTATTCATAATTATAAATGAATTGTTATTGATTTTTGTTTCAGAATACTTGTTTGAATGATGGTGATGTAAATTTGGTACAATTCTTGCAAGAGATTGCTTCAGAACAACAGTTTGAAGTAACGTATGTTGACATTGAAGAAAAGTCTATTAGTGGTGAGTTCATAATACATTTACATGTATCAAATTATTGAATTTGAGAGGTATAGTTTTCTAAAGTTACAATTTATATTTATTTTGTTCTATTATATATTTTTATGATAAATTTTTGTTTATTGCATAAAATAATTACCATTTTATGATATTTATTATAATATAATATTTATGATTTTTGAAAATAAGTCTATAAAGTAATGAAGAAAATAATATAATTTAATATCTTTACAAATTTTTTTATAATAAAAAAATTATAAAAAGTAATTATAATTAAATGTTGTGCTAATATATTTTGTTTTGAAAAGTATAAATTTTGTAAGCACATTATTTAATATAATTGATTTATTAAATATTTGCAAAATTGTTCATTATTTTTCTGTAAGTACCATGTCAAGTACTACATCTCTTTCAGTTGTTGGTATGTCATCTTTTATTTGTTCATTAAATGCTATTGCGATCAAATGTGGTTTTCTTTGCTGTTTCTGAAAAGTATCTTCCAAGAATTTATCATAATATCCCTTACCATGGCCTAAGCGTTTTCCTAATCAGGAAATATAAATGCAATAGTATAGTTAAATCTATGATATACGTAATTTGTAATTATAAAGTAAAATAATTTACCGTTATAAGTAAATGCTACTCCTGGTAAAAGAATAAGATCTAGTTCACCTGTAAGAGAAAAATATTTTTCTTTATTGTTGATCCTTCTATTTTATCTTTTCTACTTACCATTTTGAAAGGCATTTTCTCTAGTTTCAGAAATGTCTGGTTGTTTAAAGTTCCATTTTGTTAATGGCAATTTTTCATAATCATTCATAGAAAATAATTTAACCATTTCCATTGTTTTTCCATTACATCTAGGAATGAATACTTCCTTTCCTTTTTCAAATATGTCTGTCAAAATAAGTGTAGTATCAATTTCGTCTTTAGTACTAAGATACACGGAAATTCTTTTACTATTCTGATATTGTGGTAATCTTTTCAACTGAAATATAATAATGTTTATAAAAGTCCATTATATTATTTCAATATTGTACGAATATATATGATATGACATAACCTCTTGGCTGACAAATTTTTAACTTATTGAAATACTTTATATAGAAAATAATTTACTGTACTTTTTCAAATATTCTTGAAGATTGTCGTGCTTTTTCTTCAGCAGTGATATTTGAAATAATATTACTCATCTCTTTCCGTAATGCATCTTTTAAAGATTTCATAGTTGCCATATTATTTTGCTTTATAGAATGTATCCAATAATATGATTAAAATACTTATAATTAGATAAGTCTATCTCTTAGTAGATAAGAATTATTTACATAAGATATTTTATGATTTCGAGTACAATTATCATAATACAGAAGTTCATATAATATATCATATCTTTACAATAATCTCTTTTCTTATATAAAGAGAAAATTTTCTTTTTTCACATATATATTATATATTTATCAGAACATTTCTCTTGATTTTACTACATACTTTTTGTTTTATTTATTATTTTTTCTTTCTTTCTTTTTTTTTCCTCCATTAAATTACTTAATACAATTTTTTTTTCCTATTTAATAAAATTATTATTATCTTAATATTATTTGTACAGTTATTTTATTTAATAATACAATTGTAGGTAAATGCCAGTGCCTTGTGCAACTGTCCACATTGCCAGTGGCAGTTTGCTATGGTTGCGGTGTAACCAGTAAAGATGCTCAAGCCAGTGCTGCTCAAAACGCTCTTGAATATCTCAAGATCATGACCAAGAAGTGAGCCAGCGCTCTGCTCCTGCCAGCTGTCACTATAAACTGCAAGTCCCATAGTAATTTATTATCAAAAAATCAGAATAACAATGCGGACACTAAAATGATGCAACAAAACAGTCAAGTTCCAGAAAAAACCAAAAAAGTGCAAAAACTCGAACATGTGGGAAGTAAGGGTAGAACGTCAAAAGCATCAATGAAAACGATAAATGCTACGGTAGGAAATAAGGATTCGTTATTAAGTACCATTACCACAACGCCGGACGTTGCTGTTGCCGCTACTAGAATGAGCTCTTCGATGAAGAAAAACAACGATAATAAAGACAATTTAAAATCAAATGATCAACCATTGACCAAAAGTTCGTCGTCGATCGCCGTTACGAATCAGACAAGTACTACGTTTGGTAGCGTGCGAGGTGTTAATAGCTGCGTCGGTAATGTGACCCACGAAAGTAGTGCAAAAGTAAAGGATTATTCTGTAAAAAAGTTTTCTAACGAAATCGATTCGAAATTAAATAATTATCAAATGCAGGTGGATTACAAAGAAACGTCTGTAACGAATCAGGATTACAAAAGTCGAAGTAGCAACACAATGACCAATTTGCCAACGAGATTTTCTAATCAAACGTCCATCCAAGCTTTGCATCGAGAAAATCATATGACTTTTAATGTTCATTCTCGTCCAGTGTCCAGAAACGATAATACAGCATTTGCAGTGGCTAGAAAGGCTTTGGAGCAACAGAATCCAGTAGCAAAAATGGCACCAATCAATTTCCCTCCATTGCGCGCACCACAGAGTATAGTTAACGTGCGGCATCCATCTGTAACCGAAGCTAGGATAAAGCACAACGAGATAAGTGGTCTAAATATGAAGTCAAAATTGAACGTATCAAGCTCTTTGCAAGGTGGCATGAAAGATTTGGAACATAGCAGGCAAACTTTTCATAATTATGGTACCTCGCAAATTGCTGGGATACCGAATGTTCAGAATCTGAGCAACGTTACGGCAAACATTTCGGCATATCCTAGGCCTGATTCATTTCCACAGCCAACCGTTGCTAGTGTGCTATTCCCGGAGACAGCACAGTTTCCACAATCTCCTCCGTTCAGTACAACGCAAATTGGTCAACTAAATCAATATCAGACTTATGATCCTAGTAGTTTTGCTACTACCCCAGTGAGCGTTAATCCGGTGATTCCTCAGTTCTCAGCGGAAAGTTCTATGCCATATCCGCAATACGAGAATCCTCCTCAATTCGTGCAACCAAATCATTATCCACCCGCCGATATGGCGAGCAGTCAATATCAATATCAACCTCCAGGAGTTGGTCAAATACAAGATTCACCGATGTTCATCCAAAGCCTCCAAAGTCCAATAACCGTAGCGGATCAATACGCAGCAGCTCCGAATTATGCCAGGGCAGTCAGGGCCGAGCTGATGCCTCGTCTGAGAAGACCACCAAGATTTAATAAGTAAATTAGAGATATTTTCCAATGACACTAATTTCTACCGTTCTATCAAAATACTCTATCAACGAAAACTGGAACTTGTACTGTTAGATATGTGACTTTTGGGAGTCGACTATGGGACACGACTTTATGTTCTTTTTTTACACTTCGATATTTAATCTAGACTCTCTCAGTATAGATATAATATCTAAATAAGTCTCTTATATCGAAGGGCTTTCTTTTTGTTTTTTTTTTTCTACGTAGGTTGCGACACGTCCATGTCGAATTTATTCATATAACCATAATTAATCCTCGTATAATCTCGCGAGAAAAAGATGAGGTAAAAATTATTTCAATTATTGATCCAACTTGAAATGGATTTTAACTAATCTAAATCGTGATAGCGATTTAATCGTCTAAGATAACGATAGGATATAATAGGTATTTGAATGAATTCGCAAAGAATAAGGACATCGCATATTGGGCAACCATTTCAGTATGAACTTTGATTAAATGATATTAAATCGACGTCGCCAAAAATTTTCTAA